CAGTGAAATTAAAAGTTAACATTAAAATAGAAAAATATAAAGGGATCCTTAATTCACTAAAAATAGAAAAAGAAACGAAAGTCACTGATTAATACTAATAATAATAAGTTAAATAGGAAAATATAAAAAGATTCTGAATCTATACCATTATTAAAAAGAAAATCCTTCTTCCTTACTTTCACACCCAAACAATAGAAAAAGAAAAAAAATTTATAATATAATTAAAAACAAAATTCTATTTACTTGATTTATCGCCCAAACAATAGTAAATAGTAAAGGTAAATTAAAAAAAAAAAAGGATGAAAAAAAAAAGAACAAAAATATTTCACAATAATATTCTATATTATCAATTAAAAATGGAATGAAAATTAGGTAAATAAATAAGTACTATATTATCAATTAAAAATGGAATGAAAATTAGGTAAATAAATAAGTATCTGTTCAAACATATTTTCTCAACCAACACCTTCACTAAGGCTCAATCTCATGACTTCCCACATAAGAGAGGTCACTACATGCCATCTGAGCACAAGGTGCTTGGCAACAAACATTAGGTTAATTGAAAAAGGAAATGAATATTAACAATTGTTTGAAAATAAGAAAAAAATCATAATTGACTAAAATAGAAAAAAAATGGTCAATCATTGCATTTTAATTTTTCACAATAATATTACACAATATAATACATCAAATCACAAGTATGTCATAAATTTTACACAATTTTAAACAATAAAATAGAAATATTTCAATAATAATATTCTACACTATCAAGTAAAGGTAAATTAAAAATGAAAAGGAAATACTTCAATAATAATATTCTACATCATCAATACTAAAGACATATTTTAAACAATAGTAAAGGTAAATTAAAAATGTAGCGAAAATTAAAAATGAAATGAAAATATTTCAATAATAATATTCTAAATCATCAATTAAAAATGAAACGAAAATTTGGTAAAAATATCATTGCATTTGATATTTTAGTTTGCTAATTGATTAATTGACTAAAAATAAAAGAGAAGTAATTGGATGAAAATAAATATGATATTACTAATGGATTGAAAATTTAAAAGGAAATGAATATTAATAATTGACTGCAAATAAAAAATTATTCATAATTGACTAATATGAAAAAAATAAATGGTTAGATCATTGCATTTTAATTAAAATGGAAGGGAAACTAAAATTGAACGCCAATATTTCAATAATAATATTCTACATCATAAATAGTAAATGCATATTTTAAACAATAGTAAAGGTAAATTACAAATGGAACAGAAATATTTCAATAATAATATTATACATCCTCAATTAAAAATGGAACACAAATTAGGTAAAAATATCACTCCATGTAATATTCTAATTGACTAAAAATACAAAAAAATAATTGACTGAAAATGAATATGATATTACTAATTTATTTAAAATATAAAAGGATCGCTAATTGATTAATAGTATACCATTATATATTTTCACCGAGTCACCCATCCTGATCAATTGAAGGTGTTAGCTCTAGACGATGATGGACAAGATTGTGTTGCTACTACCAATGTCGTCTACAAAGAGGTTTCAACAATGTGTAAATAAAATCGTTGATATTATAATTTTTAAATGACAAAATTGCTATATGTATAGACAAAAAAAATATCCTCCATACAAATGAATTAAGATAACAATTCATTCATATAACTGAGTTGCTAGAAAACGAACACATTTGTATAATTTATATAAAAAAAAATACTAAACAATGATAAAAAAAATCTCCAAAGTTATAACACTACATGCATACATCTACACATTAGCTATTAATTTGAGCAATTATTTGCTTGAATTCATACAATGATAATATAAAAACACATAAATGATACAACCCGTATATTCAATTGAACTATATAATATTTGATGTTCTAACTTAAATAATTATATACCGATCCAAATATTCTTAATATATTACAACAAATCTATTCCGTGCATCGCACGGGCGCAAATACTAGTATAATATAATCAAGATTCAAACCTACAACCTCTAGGATAACAACACGCCTACCAACTCGCTAAGCTTCTCTATATCTTGTGTAATAAAAGGTAGAATGCTATACTTATTTAGGTGAAAGGTGCTACAGCAAAGTAGTAGAGGACTCAAGTATGGTGTATATGGAAGGTAAACCAATATAATGTCATACACTTGTCAAGCATCTAGAAGGTATTTCACACTATAAAAGGGGAGTGGCTTGCCTCCTTTGGACATTAAGTTGTCAAAAGAAAACATCCCTCTTAGCTTTAATTCGGCGCTTGGTGGCTAGTGGTCTTGACTTCTTGCAAGGGCGTCTGGGTTTGATATGAGCTATAACCTTTATTATTTGGACCGTTTTCTTGGGCTTTGTACATATTATTTTGAGTCTAGCGCCCTCAGCAATAAAATTACTATTAACTAAGGAATAGCTTAATATCAGGCCTCATTGAAATAATTATTCTCTTTGCATTGAGATTAACTCATTTTCAAAAATACTACGGAGTATTATCTAGTACTATCAAAGCGGGTCGGATCAACCCACTGCGAGATTTCGTAGACTTTTGTGGTCGGCTTGCCTGTACCACACGAGTTGACGGAGCCCACAGGTTGAGCTTTTTTTTTTTTTTTTTGTTAAGAAAAAATTATAAATAATAATTAAAGTTATGACAAAAAACACTAACTATAAAGAACATTAGAGATTGGGAATTGGGATTTGCAAATTGCTAAGCTGTAGAGATTGGGATTTGCAGTACGCTTACACGATCTAGGCTAGCGGCTAGTAGCACTAATTTTACATAACAATTTTATGCACTGTGAGAGCTTGTCGAGCTGTAGGTGAAAAGTAAAACTTTTTTTTTTTTTTTAAATGAACATAGTTTGGCCCGCGGGCCAGATTGGGCTAGACTCATTAGCCTCGCATTTTTGCGATCCCTATTTTTAGTGACCCTAGCCCACTTCGCAGCAGGGGGCAAATTATGCCCTGGACCCGTGTCCACGGACCCAAAACAACGTCGTTTTTCAAAAAAAACGCGTCATTTAGTTTTTAAAAAAAAATTCGCGCGCATTTTGTCGTTAACGGTGTTAACGGCGTTATTTTTTTTTTTTGATTATGAATGTACAGTTATGCCGTTATGAATGTACAGTTATGCAATTATGAAATTATGAACACAGAGCTCTAACATTATGAACTTACAATTATGAACATATATAGTGATAAAATTATGACCATGGAGCTTTAAAATTGTGAATATAGAGCTTCGAAGATTATGAATGTACAGTTATGGAGTTATGAATCTACAGTTATGAGATTATGAATCTACAGTTATGGAATTATGAATGTACAGTTATTGATCGAATTATGAACAAAGAGCTCAAACATTATGAACTTACAATTATGAACATATAGTGATAAAATTATGAACATAGAGCTCTAAAATTGTGAACATAGAGCTTCGAAAATTATGAATGTACAATTATAGAGTTATGAATGTACAGTTATGGAGTTATGAATGTACAGTTATGGAGTTATGAATGTATAGTTATAGAGTTATGAACGTACAGTTATGAAGTTATGAATGTACAGCTATTAATAATATAGTAATAAAATTATGAACATATACTCCTATAACGAAGCGGTCTGAAATTTTTGTTTAAAAAAAAAAAAAAAAAAAAAAAGGAGATAACAGTGTCTAACGGCACTGTTACTCGTGTCCAGCAAGCATGCTGGACACGGTCCAACGCATAACGATTGACAGCTTGGGCTCAAAAACAATTTTAACTTGGGTCGTCACTGCGGACTAAATCACACTTGAGGCTTTTACATATTAAGAGTGGTTAAATTCTATTTTTAGTTTTTTTTTTTTTTTTTTGAAAGCATTAGTTTATTGGTTTAATTAGCTTGGAATCTTCAATATTTGAAAATTGAAACTAGAAGGTTTACTACATCAAGTGGGTGGGATTGTGCGAACACTAGAAATTTAGAACAAAAATGTTTTTTTTTTTTTTTTTTTTTTTTACGTGGCTAGTTTACAGTAATAGTTTCATTTATAATTCTTGATTTTAATTTTATATATATATATATATATATATATATATATATTTTTTTTTTTTTTTTTTTTTTTTTTTAATTTTAATCTTCAATTTTGACTTTGTGGTATTGCCGAAAACTCTTATGTGGCAAAAAAACCCTTACAAAAACTAATGATGTTGAGGATGCTAGCGATTGGAGTATCATTTTTTTTCCTAAGACCTAGATGGGTATGTAGATGTCCCTGCCTCTAAGTGAGCATGGTGCAGACCACAGAAACGACGTCGCCAGAGGGATATCAGAAAGATATCTCTTGCTTTTGATTTTCTTTTTCACGTTTAATTTGGAGAATACCGAAAATACGAAGAAAACTTCTTATCAAACAAAAAATTACACTCCCAACTTGTATATATAAACTATATATATTGCTAATAGTAAATTATGTGGCAAATTATTGCGTAGACCACAATTCAAAATGACGTCGTTGAATTTTATGAGTTATAATAATATACTTTATATGTTATGTGTAAGAATAATAAAACTTCTGGAATAAGATAATGTACTTTATAAGTTAGAATAATGTACATTATGCTTTAGAATAATGAAGATAATGTGTTATAAAAATATATATTGCAGTGAGTTACGTAAAAAAAAAAAAACGTAAAACGACGTCGTTTTTAGACCCTCGCAATAAGTATTAAAGTTATATCCACTCCATGAGTATGTACTTGGGCTCAGAATATGTTGACTGTGGACAGTTTAATTATTTTAACTTGGGTAGTCAATGCAGTCCAAATGACCAAAGTCAAGAAAGTGTAAAATTTCAATGCCCACGCATAAAATTAAATTTACATGACACGATAAAACTTAGATTTTCACTCTAGACAGAAATCTAGACTAACTCATATGTTCAGACCAACCTTATCCTCTCTTAAAATCTTAGACAAGAAAACACGAGGATAACTAATCCATCTTAGGCAGTTTGGCTACTTAATTTCATAATGCTCAATAGCCATCTCTACTAATTTATACACGATTCTAATATTTCTCTAAACTTGAGAAATAAAAATGATAAATAACAAATACATTATCCCATGAAACTTATCATAATAAATACGCAATCCTCTTAACTGTACATACATAGCCCCAGGCATAACATTATTTTGCTTTCGGTGGCCATCGCCAACATTTTACTAATATTAATTAATTTTAACTTGCAAACCTTTTATTCTTGCCCACAATCTAGATCAAACCTTATTTTCTCATTGATGACTAGTTGAGTGTGTTGAGTTCCAGTACTTCTCAATTTCCTCCGCACTTCTTCCTGGGATTCTCCCAGCAATTAGTGACCACCTAATTATTCATCCACTAAATCATCAGTAACAAATACATTTCAGTTATTATTATTACTCCGTATTATACAGTTTTTAACATATTCACATATAAAATTATCCATTTTTTTTTAAAGTAAGAATTTATCTATACATACATATACACACAAATAGAAGTAATACACTTATTACCTCTCTCCCACCAAGTTATACATTCTGACTACCAGAGCTTCCTCATCCACCGAGAAAACTAGCTTATTTGAATCTTGGCTAGTGACCTCCACTTCTAAGAAATACCATATAAGTCATCAATCTCAAGATTAAATGCTCATCATAATAATAATTCTTAAATTTAATGAACCATACATATAATGTGATTTAACTAAAACTAAACGAACAAATTAAAGAAAGGTTAAGATTGAATTGGTTTTGGAACGTTCAAAATTAAGACTTGTACTGTGCATACAATCAAAATATACAAATTGATGATACTTGAAAAGTTTAAATGTGAGGAGGATATATATAATTGAACGAAGGAGATCAGATCAATCCCTACACACATACTCAAAAGATATTATCAATGGAAAATATATGATGGAGAATGTAACTACCACTTGATTAGGTAGGTATATATGCATCAATCATGTGGGGAAAAGAAAAAAGAAAAATTGATCTCTCTAAGGTCAAATAACAATAATGGAGTGCATGGAATAGTTAGATGAGTGATGGAGGCGTTACCTGTAATTTCCACACAAGCTTCTGCTTCTCCACAGGTACTGGAATTATCCAAATCTGCCATGGAAGGAAGTTGCAGTAGAAATCCTAAAAAGGATCGAACAGATAGATCGAAGGAAGCCCAAACAACGTGCGAAATGCCAACAGCCTGAGCTGTACTACGTAAGTACTAGTACTACACAGTGGGGAGAAAATTAGTGGCGATCTACAAATCTACAATTCTTGATATTTATTCCTCGGGATTGGGGCCTTACAAGAAGATGGGAGTGATAAATTAAACATGTGCCTTTTTCTTTTTGAAGTGTACGGTACAGTAATATATTAATGGTAGTTGTAGACTTGTAGTTGTCAAGCTTTTCATAGTGGCCAGTGGGTAAGTAGTAGTTGGCCGCGGGGCCCTACCCGCTCACTACGTTATTAATTTGCTCAAAGAAAATGGTAAACGTGTTCGGGTGTAGTTGCAATTCAATAAAGTATAATTTTTTGACCACTCGAAGTACAATATTTTATTGGAGGGATTACAATTTCTCTCATTTTGTTAATTGCAATTCGTACCCTCCCTATATGAATTGTAATTCAATGGAGAAATGAAAGGGAAAAATGAAGAAAATGACACTTTTACCTTTGATTATTATTAGTAATATTATTACACAAGTACATTTTATTCTTTATACAACTTCTTTCGGTCTAATTCTCAATAATTCTATTCCTCCCTACTAAACAATGTAATTTGAATTCCTAATTTATTCCAATCTTATTCTTTTTTTCACCGAATTACAAAATTCAATTCCCCCCTAATTCCTTCCTAAGCTAACTAGTTTAATTATGTTAATATCTTTATAATTGAATTTATTGTATAAAATTATTTTAGTATGATTTATTTCTTATATGTAACTCATGAGTTATTGCAGAATAATATTTTATCTAGCGCATATATTATAGTTAGAGTCGTCAAAACGGGGTTAACCCGTCCTGTCCCGCGAAAAGAGCAGGGCGGGCTTTGATATTTTGAGCCCGTATTTTAAAGGGCATTTTTGCCCGTTCCGCGTAACCCGTAGGCTTTGCCGGGCCGGGCCAACAGGGACTCTCCAAATGTATAATAAAAAATATTAAAATAAATAAATGCTATAATAGTAAATTTATAACATTAATATATATATATATATATATATATATAATCAAGTTCAAAATAATTAGTGCATTATATAAATAATTTGTTATTGACTTATGGATTAACACATTATGTATTTGATTATTTATTAGATATTATTGTGTTTAAAAAATTACAAATGCATTAATATATGTTTAAACTATCCAAATTATTTAAATATGCACTTATTACCTTTTTTATTAATTTTATTTAAATTTAAAATTTTTAAAATTTAGCGAGCCCCTGCCAAGGCGCGGGGCTTAAGGCGCGCCGAGCTGTGTCGACCTCCTTTAGGCCTATATTTTGACGGACTTTTTAGCCATCTCCTATCATATGGCGGGCTCCGCCCCGCAAACCCGTTTCGACAGCTCTAATTATAGTGGTGGCATGTTTTACTTATTAAAAAAAAAACAATTTTTTTTTATTGATTTTGGTAGTTAAATCAATTTTATTTGTCTATCTTCTTTATAGTCAATTTTAATTTAATTATCTTTACTTCTTCTCCCAATAATTATCTTTACTTGAAGAGTTGGAAGGTGTGGTTGAGTGGAAGGGACTCATTCATGCTTAATCAAAGGTAAAGAGTTCGATCATTAACTTTAAGTATGGACCAACATTAAATTTCCAAGCCAGCTACCGTGACGGGAGGGGAATTTTTTTAAAAAATTTATCTTATATTCAGTATTAATTTCATTAAATTCGTTTGACAGTTAACAACCCGTTTGCCTTTCATTAAATTGTATGCATTTTTTAATTGATGGATGCGGGTACAAATTATACCGTGGAGCAAGTCCACCATAACAAATTGTGACCCATAGATCAGATTATGTATTTACATTTAACCTATTTTATATATTCAATTAACATATTAATATATTATGTGCATCTTGAAAATATATAATATATAAACTATAGGTAAATAATTTTAATGTATATGTTAGCAGCACATAATATAAACCGGGGTCCATAACATACATGATAGATCATAGATCATAATTCACAACGATTGATATGAATGGGCAATTAATCTAAAAAGTGAAAAGAAAAAATCTTATTATCGATCAATTGTCCATTGACAAAATTTTAATTTTAAAAACTTTTTTTAGATAATTATTCATTCACTATAAGAAAAATTAAATTTACCAAAAAAAAATGTAATATAAGTATATTACTAAAATTATGAGGTATTTAATTATCAACAGATTTTTATAGGTATAATATTACAACATAAGTATTTTTAAGTTGTAACTATTTCATTGTTGTTACATGTATGGGTGTTTTTTTTGAGAAAGTTACTGGCTCTATTACATTGTAGTATCTGTTTATATACTTTCTCAACTTACTGAAACACAAAGAACCAATAACGCCTCCACTGAGGCTTGAACTCATAATCTTCTCATGTATGGGTGTTTTGTTGTTCTATTGTAGTGATTGACATGTAATAACGAAAAAGATTTGGTTTTAAGAAAAAATGTTAAATTGTGGAAAGCAAATAGATTACCATAAATAAGTTAGTTATTTTATGATAAAATTTGTATACGTATAACATAAATTATAAAAACCTGGGTGGAAAACACAATGTTCCAATATTGACTCCTTGGTGATTGTCTGTTGATTTTTTATTTTTTTATTTATTTTTAATTCATCAATTATGACAACCTAGATTAGTTTAGCTTATTGTAGACCTGGTAATTATGGACACGACCCGTTAACACGACACGAAACCAGACACGAAAATAATGGGTTAGTGTTTAGCCTTAACGAGTCTCGGGTCATTAACGGGTTGACCCGTTAAGGACCCGTTATGTTTCGTGTCTTAACGGGTTAACCCGTTAAACCTATTAAGAACCCGTTTAACCAGTTAATATTACCGTGTTAACTCGTTAACACGAACCCGTTTACCAAACATATTTATAACCCGCTAAGAATCATTGTCATTTAGGTAAGAACCATTGTCATTATTGAGATTACAAAAGATATTATAAACATGACTAAGGATGAAATTACTACATTAGGCCAAGATCCTACACCAATTAATTGATGTTCATCAATTTGAAATTTGAATTTTTATTGTGTTCAATTTTATTATAAAAACTTGTATAGACTCCTTTAATTATGATTTTTGGATGTTATTTTATCTTTTTATGAATGTTATGAATTGAATATTTTTAGTTTGTTTGATGAATTGAATGGTCGTTTTTTTTATTTATATTTTTTTATAGAACTTAACTTTAAATTTTACTTTTTTTTTTAAATATATTAATAGAGATAGCGGGTTTAAACGGGGTTCGTGTCATATCGTGTTGACACGACTTGAAACCTGTTAACAAAACGTGTCTATCGTGTCAACCCGTTTAACCCGTTAACAAATCGTGTTCGTGTTAAAATTTTGAACCCGTTAACCTTAACGTGTCGTGTCCGTGTTTAGCCTTATCGTGTTCGTGTCGTTATCGTGTCGACCCGTTAACGGACCCGTATACACGAATTGCCAGGTCTAGCTTATTGTGGTTCTTTGTCGATGCACACCTTTAATAACGGTTGTGAGCTTTTTCGTAAATCAAAGAGTTAAGACCTAATGTTCTAAGTTTGACTCATTAGGAAGTGCCTATTTACTTTTTCGGTTTGAGTAGATCAATTATGACAACCTAGTAAACTAATTTAGTTCCGTGTGGTTCTTTATCGGTATACATCTTTAATAACAACTGTGAATTTTTTCATAAATCAAAGACTCTTAATTAGAGTTATTTGTAAGTTAATTGAATTATTTTATGAGTTTTTAGTTTCATTTCTTGACTAAATTAATTAGAGTAGCCTATGATTATAATATTCAATCTATTAATTAATACTCCGTACTAAAATATTTATGAAAAAGATATAATATAAATCGTACAAATTTACTATTATTCAATAAAAAATTATTTTGTCAAAAAAAATAAATAAATACTCCGTACACTTTATTGAAAATATTTAAAAGTTAGTCGGTATATATTAATTAAGGATGAATTCATATTTGTTTATTTGTTTCTTGTGCTATTCTTTCTTTGTTAGTCTCTATAGATCAGAATAGGTTGTAAATTTGGTTTACTGGCTTCCTAGATTTCTAATGTATGGTGGTTATTTAAACCATTGCATCTCATTTATTGAAATACTAATTTAAACTTTTACATGATAATAATGTCCTTCCTTTTAAGTTTTTTGCTTTATTTGCTATGATCATGAGTAAGTAGTTCTATTTGGGATTTGGACTAAAGATGATATGAGATTCTAATGCTTATTTAATGTTGATTGCATAAACGGGAAAAATCTCAATTTAGGGTTCCTAATGTTGTGAGAGATTTTATGTATTACTGTGTGAAGGTGTGGTGCACAACATTCTTAGCATTAACCTTGTAGGAAATTCGATTAATAACAACGAAAGTTGGATTAACATTCTATAGCCCTCTCTAGCAAATCCTTACTTGTTCCTCAATGAAAGTACAGAGTTTAAGGATTTTGAATTGCTTAGATTTTACTGTAAGGAATTGTTGCATCACGAAAGTGGGACAATTCTGTCTTCAATTTAAGCTTTATTCCACCAAGAAAGTAGCTTTTAATCCCCAAATTTGTGTTAGTAATCTTGGAACCTGAGATTGTGGTAATGTCTCTCCTAAATTATTTGGTTTGACTTTAGAATCACATGCTTCCTCACCCCAAATCTTTTCTTATCATTATTGAATTTTTTATTTGCAATAATTGCCTTATCCCTTAAAGTTAACCATTGCTTAGCTTTCACTTGTTTCTCCATCCTTGTGACTAGTATTGTTTCTTCAAAGGTCACTCTATAGAGTCCATCTCTAGAGGACGACAATCTAAAATCTTTAACTCTTTAATTCACTTAAATTCGGATCAAGAGGCTCTCAAGTCCACAGAACAACTTGGAATGGATCATGTTATTTTGAAAATGGACGCGAAGTTGGTTTTCCATGAGTGTATTTTGAGAAGATTTATTCCCCTTCTGGAGTTAATGGAGTTATTATGGATGGGGCCGGGATGGCATTAAAGAAATCACGAGGCAATTCTCTCACAGACATTTCTTTTTGAGTCAAACGCTCAACGAACAATGTAGTTCATGTGTTTAATAGGG